GTAGAAAAGTCATCTCTTCGATTTTTTATATTATCTTAATATAAGGTCATAACTTGATAGCTTTGTACGCAGACTTTGTTGTTAAACACATAGGGATATCTGTGCTGTGCCTACCACTGGTATCGAAACCTGGATTTTAGCGTTATAAGTCTTCAGACTGAGGAATATGCAAATACATCACATCAGCTGACATTTTAAAGAATAGGGTTGAACGAAAGAAGGTTTAACATTTATTTGGATTTTTATTCGTATTATAGATTGCATAAATAAATACATAAAACAAGATGCTCCTTCTGTGCTGATTCACTAGTATTTTCAATTTACTTTTTTTTTGTTGTTGTTGTTGTTTTTCACACTAATACTACGAAATAAGCACAAAACACCAAAGTACTATACACTCAAAACAAAATCTCTAGTTTCGTTCTAAAGGAAACGAGGGATCATTTGTTGTATTAATATTTTTCTTCAAAATAAAACCAGTTTGTCGATACGAAACTGTAACCTAGGACAGCTATCGCTTGTTCATAAATGTTTTATTCAGTATGAGCAGAGAAGTTTCCTTTTACAATCCACGTTTTCGCAAAGTGTCGAAAACCCACATGATAAACTGAATAGTTGAATAGTCTCAAGTACACTTTCGATGTGAAAGAGTGGGATGATGTTACTAAATATATAAGCTAAATCCGCACCTAAAGACAGATAAAGCTCACTTGGATAACAATTTCTGTTATCGATCTATAAACTAGACTGATGAGAGCAGGTGGGGTTCGGAACTACGGTACCTGGCTGGTCGTGGCATCTTTGTTTTAGCATAAATCTACACATTGTGCCATCCACCGTAGGGAATCGAATCCCAGATTTTAGCGTTCTAAGTCCTTAAACTTACTGCAGACCTACCGGGAAACATCATGGTATGTTATTCATTGCCTAGGTAAAAGTGTATCATAATGCAAAAGTTACAATCACACTGACTTTCAGCTTGAAGTCCCACCAAATATGCTCGCCCTTTCAGCCGTGGGGGCGTTATAATGTAACGGTCAATCCCACTATTCGTTGGTAAAAGGGTAGCCCAAGAGTTGGCGGTGGGTGGTGATGACTAGCTGCTTTCCCTCTAGTCTTACACTCCTAAATTAGGGACGGCTAGCGCAGATAGCCCTCGTGTAGTTTTGCGCGAAATTCAAAACAAACAAACAATACAGCTTAAAACTCAAACATAGGTTGAGAAACTAGGTTGAGATGAAGCCTCCCTAGGTACACACTTGTTGGGGGAGAGTTAATACGTGTAAATAATTTTAATAGGGTCAGACACTACATGTCCACGTTTTACCCTTTATATTTGAGGAATTGCTACATCTGAACATTGTAAACGCCACATTTTCTGAGGGTCATAGCTCCTGATCTACTTAGAATTACCATGTTCGGGTCTCGCACGCACTTTACCCCCTCGGGTACCTTTTGCTTTCCCTGCTTGTGGCAAAAGAAACACGTTAATAAAGAAATGATCGGTTTTAGATACTCAACCACTTCATTGTAATTCTAGATGAAATAGCTTCAACGTTCGTCCCCCTATCCCGGTGGGACAGAGGTAAGTCTACGGTCTTACAACGCCAGAATCCGAAGTTCAATTCCCCGCTGTGGATGGAGCAGATTACCCACTGTGTGCTTTGCTGTAAGAACAAACAAACAAATTACAACGTTAAAAATGCCCTACCCCAACAGCTAAGCGGTAAACATGTGGACTTATAACGGTAAAAATCGGGTTTCGATACCCGCGGTTGGCATAGCAAGATAGCCTATTGTGTAGCTTTGTGCTTGAAAGCAAACAAACGTTCAACCTAGATATGTACACGTCTTTTCATTCCTTATTTGACAATATGTTTTAAAGTATCATTGGTTTATACAAATACTATATAATTCTCATGTGAACTTGCCTTCAACAACAGAGGTAATTCAATGTGCCAATAAATAGTCACCACTGGTAGCGATGCTGTAGCACTTATTATAGTAGTGGTGGAAGTTATGTATTCGGTTGCTATTATCGTATTAATAACATGTTATTGAAACCAGTAAGTGCGCAGCATACTTGTATATGAAGTCAGAGTATACTGCCACACACCCGGTTTCCGAACACTTGACTACTTGTTTATAATAAACAAACATACAGCCTTGAAGTTACACTTTAAGCAACGATTGTGAGTATAAATACGAAGAAAGTTAGGCCTATCTGTTATTTACTCCTTGAAAGCCGGGCCGGGCATTGCCTGGTCGTTAAAGCGCTCGACTCGCAATTTGAGGGTTCGAATCGCTGTCACCGAATATGCTCACCCTTTCAGCTGTAGAGGTGTTATAATGTGATGGTCAATCCCACTATTTCTTGGCAAAGGAGTATCCCAAGAGTTGGCGGTGGGTGGTGATGACTAACTGTCTTCCCTCTTGTCTATCACTGCTAAATTAAGGACAGAAGTACAGATTTGTTTGGATTGTTTTGGATTTCGCGCACAGCTAAACGAGGGCTATCTAATTTAGGCCGTCCCTAATTACACACTACCAAAATTTTACAAGTGTCTCTTTAAGGGACACAAACCCGGATTTGAAAGCAGCTTCTGGAATAATGTATCATATATTATATTAGCAGAGAAGATTATAATGAAAATCTGACTTTTTGTTACGGGCTATGGAGACGAGAAGCAATACGATTATAAGCCTGTAGCGAACTCTATAGAAGTATAAGAAAAGAACATAATTAATTCATCAGGACATCGCAAAAGTAATTGGAACTTGGTGGTTGAGTTTTAGGCAGAAAAGAACTGGACATTTCTACGGAGATAACAAAGAGGAATCAGGGTTTTAGCAGAGACAGATTTTCCGCAGAAAAAGTTGGGTGACTTGACGGAGAAAGTATTACTGGTATTTTATATTTTAACAGCATGAATGAATCAAGTTTTGGCGGTGACGGCTTCTATAGTTATTTATGTTTGAACAGCATAAATGAATCAAGTTTTGGCAGTGACGACTTCTATAGTTATTTATGTTTTAACATTATATATGAATCAAGTTTTGACAGTGACGACTTCGCTAGTTATTTATGTTTTAACATTTTATATGAATCAAGTTTTGACAGTGACGACTTCGCTAGTTATTTATGTTTTAACATTATATATGAATCAAGTTTTGGCAGTGACGACTTCTATAGTTATTTATGTTTGAACAGCAGCATAAGTGAATCAAGTTTTGGCGGTGACGACTTTACTAATTTGTTATTTTTCATGCTGACAATCAGTTTTTTTACTTTCTAAAAAAAAGCGAACAAAAATTATTATGAAACGTTCAGTTAGTTAAGTATCACGTGGTATAATTAGTTCTTATGATGCGACGCTGGAATTCGCTTTTATAATGAATCATACATAGGTTTAGATATCTATGATTCATGACGCCTCTCGGATTTTTCCTTAACCAATCTCTTATAGTTTGTTTGTTTGTTTTTTTGTTATGAATTTCGCGTAAAGCTACACGAGGGCTATCTGCGCTAGCCGTCCCTAATTTAGCAGTGTAAGACTAGAGGGAAGGCAGCTAGTCATCACCACCCACCGCCAACTCTTGGGCTACTCTTTTACCAACGAATAGTGGGATTGACCGTCACATTATAACGCCCCCACGGCTGAAAGGGCGAGCATGTTTGGTGTGACAGGGATTCGAACCCGCGACCCTCAGATTGCGAGTCGAGTGCCTTAACCACCTGGCCATCTCTTATACAGATACCGACTGCTTTATAATAAATAGGCATTTTCCTAAAATGCATAAATATTTTGTGTTTAACTTATTCTGGACATGCTGTTGAAGTATGAAGTATACATCTAGTATTGTATATACCTGCGTCCTCCGTCAGACAGTCATATAGTAAAAAATCAAACTGAATACATTTTACTTATATTTAAATATGTTTTGCACATTTTGATTACTAAAAAAAAAGAGTCGATAAATAAAGTATATGAAATATAAATAAAGTAAATATTTTTCTCTTTATAGTTTTTTGATATTGTTTTTTAAAGTTACTTTTTAGAGTATTTTTAACTTAAAAAATAAAATCAAGCTCATTTTAAAGCCCCTACTGGCTTAGCTGTATTTATTTGGAGTAAAACGCTAAAAAATCGGGTTTCGATACCCGTGGTCGACACAGCACAGATATCCAGCCCATTGTGTAGCTTTGTATTTAACTAGAAACAAACTAATTTTAAATTTTATTTCTTTGTTTGCTGTTAAGAAAAAAACTTACACCATGGGCTATCTGAGCTGTGCCCATCACGGGTATCGAAACCCAGTTCTTTTGTCTTATAAGCCTTCAGACTTGCCCCTAAGCAGCAGGGAGGCTTTAATTTTTTTTAACTTGTTGTGTAAAAAAAGTTAAATTTCCAGGATATCGAATGTTTCTACCATTCTTATATAAAATGTATGAAAAAAAGCAACGGCTTTATAGTAATGAGAAAAGTAAACAACAGTTATCGACAACAAAACGAGCTTTCATTGTCACACAGTTTTTGTTTGGTCACGAAATATTTGGTTATATTTGTTTAATGACAAAGAATGACGTCCGTGCACTGCAACACGTTGAAAAGATATTGTAATATTAATCATTATTTAAAAAAAAATTGTGTTTTGCGCCTGTGGTTAATATTCCCTGAAATGCTTCCTATGATCCAAGGAGAAGAACGAGCCATTATCAAATGTACACATCGCAATGTTCATAATATAAGTACTTTAACTAATAAAAACAGCCTAAAAAATTTAGCTTTGTGTATTATAATAAAATACTAAACTTTATCTGTGATTCGAAGATAAATGAAGCGGAATTGGCCAATAACAGTGAAATAACTAACAAGAGACTAGTGATATCATGTTCTCGAGAGATTTGATAGGCTGTTATTCGCAAAGCATGATGGGAACCATGACTGTGTCAGTCTGATGTGCGAAACAACAGTACGAACCGCTACAGGCGGAACTACAGTACATATTTTTTTTTCTTAGGTACTGGTGGTGTTTATCAAATCGGTCAAAATTCGTGTCAAAAACAAAGCACCGCTTTCCATCTCCAAAATGGATCACAACGAATCGGACTTGGAAGGAAGTACGGTAGGTGGAATCACTGGTTATTGATTTGTTTTGAAGCAGGATATTATAGAACTTTAACCGATATTATTCATTTCCCTGCCGCTGTACCAGTGTTTACACGGGGCGCCCGACCCTTAGCTTCTGAGGTAGCGTAGTTCTGTCATGCCAAATGGTTAAATGTATAGGTTGGATTAAGGGACGCGCGTGTCCGAGTCATGTGTCATTTTGTATTTAACTTTGTAAAAATATTTAATATGTAGGTAAGATTGGTGAGTACAAAGGTATAGGTACTAGAGCTCCCACCCAGTCAACTAGATGTGGTTAATTTAATTTTTTAACTGAGTACACTTGGTAATATCAAGAGTAGTAACAGATCATCGAGCGCCAGTCCTCTACTCTAGGAAATAGGGATGAGTTGTCTTACAACCCGTGAAATTGAATTCTTTCAAACTACATTTTGATCCTACGTAAACGAAGAAGTAATACTAATCTTAAAACACTAAAGCTGATGTTAAATAAATTAAAAATTAGTTGTTAAACGTGCCTTATGAAACTAAATTCAACTTGCTGCTGTCAGGCCATCAGACTTTATCTATCTATGCATTGTTCATGGTAAGTTTCCAAGGGTTGTAACACACTCCTTAGTCAGTAGTCCGGTAGGGTCAACATACGATTTCCTCACTCATAGTTTACTATGAAGAGCCATCGTGAAATGTGATTACGTCAAATGATAGTAATTATTAAGAACTTAACGAAAACTAACTACACAGGTTCGAATTAAAATTATTCAAAGTAACGTAGACGCTAGTGAAAACAATCCTGTATAACACGCCGACTATAAAATACTATTTAATAGCTTAAATCAATACCCGAGAAAACTAGAACCAATAATGATTTCAATTAATGAATTTTAATAATTAGTTGGGTTTCCCCAAAATTAATATCTTTTTTTTTGGACAGGTTGTGACTCCCACAACTTCTCGTAAGGTTCCGCCCCCCCCCCCCCCCAAGTAGAACAGCGGCAAGTCTGCGGACTTGAAACGCATGAAATTGGGTTTCGATACCCATGGTGGGCACAGCACAGATAGCCCATTGTGTAGTTTTTTACATAACTACAAATAAACAAACTCACGAGGTCCGGACAACTTAAGTTATATAAGTCAGTCCTAAACTCACACAATAAGTTAACTGAGCATATCAATTTTTTCTCCTTTTTTATATATAAAGAACTATTATAATTTAAAGAATTAGTATTATGGACAGTAAGATATAATAAAAGTTTGTACGAAAAATGGAACTAAAACGCGTATGTGTGGCTTGTGGAAAGACCATTCCTGCTTCTGTCATTGGTGTAGCTAGAAATATTTCTAGTGGAGCATCGCATTTTAAATTTTCCAAATACTAGGTATATTAAATATGCATCGTTAAACATTTTAAAACAACAATCATATACATACTATTAACATGTTTCCTGCTGATCTGAGGGGACTCTTTTTTTTTTTTTAACCAAGACATAAATTTCAGATTTTGTTTTTTTCACCACAACTTGCCAAGGGGGAGTTAACCCCCTGAACCCCCTATAGTTACGCTACAGAAGCTTTCCGTTGACTGTTGCGTTTCGTATTTGTTTTTTTTTAACATGTATATTTTGTGTAATGAATGTTTGGAGTTTGAAGATGTGTAGTATCTTATTCTACATGAATAAATATACAGACTTATATTTGAGCAATCCACAGATTTCCTAGAAAAAATACTTTTTTGTGTTCCGTTTTCGAGATTATGTATAAAGTTTAAACTATTTAATTTAAGGAAAACGGTTTAGAATTAGAACACGTTCAAATGATGGTTAGAACATCTGGGAGTTGAACAGAAATGTATTAGGTTTGACTATTTTATACTCTTGAAAAAGTAGTGAATCGTAAGGATTTCTAAAACCTTTGAAAATTGAACTTGTAAAAAAAAAAGATAATATTTAGGGGTAAGCTTTCCTAATGTTGATATTGATTAAGTGTGGGATTTTCGTTTAATATATTAGCATTACTCGAATACGTTGTTAAAATCGATCTTGGTAAAAATACATAAAGAAACCCTTGGTCCAGCAGCGTTTAAAAATATCTGAGAAAAAAAAAATGCAAAATAAAAAAGTAAGTATCTCGCGGCCATAACTTGTTGATTGTAGCAGCGAAATCTTGTCAAAGCCGTGTGCTGTAAATCAGTAGGATTGTAGATTATCAAACTTTACTAATACACACGTATATACGTAGCATCAGTTCTGTAGCAGCACAGTTGTTAAGTAGTTTATACTAGGAAGTGTAGATATGTATAAGATGTACGCAATAAAATGACACAAGGTGATCAATACCAGAAAGAACTGTATTTAGAAAAATTGCGAAATGTGCTACTAAGGCAACTGGAAATAGTGTTTATATTTGTTGTTGTTTTTTAGCGCATAGTCACATAATGGGCTATCTGTACTCTGTTCGTCGCAGGGGATCGAACCTCCGATTTTAGTGCTGTAACTCCACAAACTTAACTCTGACCCATCGAGGACGTTGTGTGTATGTGTATGTGAAATGTATGTATACATACACATACACACAACATTTATATGTTACGTGTATTTAAACAAACCTAATGCAAATACAATTCTAATATTGTTTAAAGTAATTTCTTGCTGATTATTCTACACTTACGTTATATCATTTTTCGAAATATAAATAATTTGAACACTCGTTTAAAATAAATAATAACAATTTCTTGAAATTTATTCTGTTTTTAATAACTATTCCACAAACAATATACTCAGAAAAAAACACTGTAAAATATTACATTTTTGTCCATATATGCACACGGACACTTAGTGTTAGATACGTGTACATTTAACGCGTTTATTTTACACAATTCTAAAATTTATATTTTAATAAACTGAGTAAATTGGCATGCATACATACCGTGTATGGATTAACATTTTCAATGACAGAATTTACACTGTATTTACATGATGAGTCATTTATTGTAGAAAGATGTTTAACAGCTCAATGATTTCCTTTTTAAAAAAAGTCACGTGAGATTTGTTATCCTAAAGCTTTTGTAGCGTTAACAATCGAAGCGGCTATCTTCGTACTTACAAGTACGTGACAATCGGCGGCTACTTAGACTATGGTATTGTTATTGGCTTCAACAGCGTTGCTGACGTTGCGACAGAGAGAAGTAGCATACGGTTGGTTGGTAAATAATACTACATCAAGGACTTAATATTAGAAATGCAAATTGGCAAGAAAACGTGAGAAGTGGCCCTATTTCCTGCACCAGAGAAGACACTTCTGATATCTACCTTGCTATAGCTAAATTAAAGAGTGCCTTAATAGTTGTTATTTGAGTGTTTGAGATTTCACCAAAGGCTGGTGATATGTTGGCCTGGAAGTAAGTTATCGTGATTTTATTTCATGTTAGGTAAAGATAATTTTAACTGGAAATGTTTGGATTAAGTGATTTAAAACCAGTTGAACCTAAAGGCATCGATCAAAACGTTGTTAGCATTTGACTATTTGATCTTT